GGGCAACCGCACTTCGGATTAGGTGGCATTAGCTTTGGTTTCCGGGGAGTTCGGGCCCAAGCGTTACCCGTTCAAAACACTAGCATCTTACGCGGGCACCGGTGACTTCAGGCCCGGAGCTGGCGCGGGGGGGGGGGCAACCGCACAGTTCCAGTGGACGGTGGGCACCCGGGGGGGGTACGAGGAGAGGGGCAACAGGGTGCTGTTCCCAGGCAGGTACACGCTCACGCTGGAGGACCCGACCCAGGGGAGGGTCCATTTTGTGCTGGAGGGGGAACCCGTTTTTCAGGGATAAGTGCCCTGCGCCCCCGAGGGGGAAAGGGGGGGGGGGGGGCTGTATTTTGTGCGCCTTGCTCGTCGGGTGTGTGTGTCCATGTGTGCGTGTGCATTCGTAGTACATATTTTGGAAGCTTCGGTATGAATCAGTGATGGTGGGACGCTTGAGTTGGTATGCTGTAAATAGAGACAATTAGGAAAAAGAAATACTACAAAAGGAAGGGTCCAAGATATGGGGAGCAGCAAATACCCCTGAAACGCCTGTCAAGCCATCCCTTGCCAAACCAACACCAAGAAGAGGTCAAGACATGGAACGCAGATAATGTGGCCGCGCTTTCCAGGGAAAATCGTCGTCCTAGATTCAGCTCGAGCTAGGTAGGTATCTGAAAAATATGCGGTCGCTTATAAAATCCATGATAGGTCTGGGTCTATACGGCGACATAATCCAAGTAAATCCTTAGTAACTCATCAAATCTGCAACAAGTCAGTCAGTCACTCACTCACTCACACAACCACCACCAACGTTCAAGATGTCAATTAGGAACTCACCTCTCCCAAACAACCCCCTCTTCGCCCAGTCCATCGCCATCAGCACCCTCGTCCGGAAGCTCACGCTCTGCGCAAAATAGATACTCCGCCACGCATACACCGCCCACAGCCCACCGGCCATCCCCCTCCCCTTGCCCAGGTCAAACACGGCCGAGTTGCCGATATACGCCAGGCTGCCCAGATGCTTGTACTCAAACGCCTTGTACACAGCCGCGTCCAGATCGCCCTCCACAATCTCATTCGCCTGCAGGCCCGGGGTGGCGCGCGCCAGCTTGTTGAACTTGTGGGCCAGGTACTGGCCCTGCTGGTGAGCGCGCTGGGCGGTGGCGGGCAGGCTGGTGAGCTTGCTGTCGATCTGCTTGAGCAGCTCGCGCAGCTCGCCGAAGTCGAGGGTGCCCGACTGGTCGCGGTCGTACTCGGCGAAGAGCTTGTCGAGCCGCTTGAGGTGGCCCACCGCCTGCGGGAATCGTTTCTTGACCTGCTCGGCCACGCGCCGCCAGTCAGAGAAGCGCAATTGCAGGTTCTCCGGGTCCGAGCCGTGCTTCCACGCGAGGCTGCGCAGGAACGACACGATGTGGTCCGCCACGTTGTTTTGGACGGTTGCGCAGTCGCCGATGGCGTAGACGTCGCCGAGCGGGGTGCCGTTGACGCGGAGGTGGGTGTCGGTTTCGAGGGCGTGGCGGTTGGTTTGGAGGTTGCCGAGCTTCTTGACCAGGCGCTTGCAGAACTCGTTCTGGGAAACACCCGTGGACCAGAGGCAGAAGCCCATGGGGAGTTCCTTGGTGATGACCTTGCCGTTTTCGTCTTTTTGCGTGAAGATGATGGTATCGGGGCGGACTTCGCTGACCCGGGAGTTGGTCAGGACCTCGACCTGGTCGCGTGCGAAGCGGTCCTCGGCGTACTTGGAGAGGGTTTCGTCGTAGGTGTTGAGGATATGATCGCGGCTCTGGATAAGGTGGACCGAGATCTCGTTGCGGAGGAGCCGGGGGAAGAGTTCGATCAGGTCCTCATTGAGCAGGTCGAAGAGCTCCGCCGCGAACTCGACACCCGTGGGGCCGCCGCCGCTCACCACAAACGACAGGAGCCGCTTACGCTCGTCGTCGGTTGTTGTCGGGAGACAGGCCAGCTCGAGGTTATGTATGACTTTGTTGCGGATCTCACGGGCGTCATTGATGTCCTTGAGGAAATGGCAGTGCTCCAACCCCTTGACGCCGTGCGGGTTCGTGACGGACCCGACCGCAATAACCAGCTTGTCGTACGGGACGTAGAATCTCTGCTCGACGCCATTGCAGTCTACTTGAGAAACCTCGATCAACCGCGATGAGAAATCAACGTCCTCGGCCTTGGCGCGGAGGAAATGCCCGCCAACGCTATGTATGATTCTCCGGATAGGTTCCACCAGCGACCGTAGCCCAAGCGTCCCAACCGTCGCGGACGGCAGCATCGGCGTGAAAAGGAAGTAGTTGGTCGGCGAGATAACAGTGACGTGATAGTTTTCGGGGGCCAGCTCCTTCAACAGCGCAACACCGCCCCAGCCGCCGCCGAGAACGACGAGCCTGGGCTTCCCTTTTTGCACCCGCATCTCCTCGGTGTCGTCATCGTCGATGAAATCTTCGAGTATTGGGAGGTTCTTGGGGCCGCCACGGCGGGGATTGATCGCGAGGGCTGAGATGTCGACGTCGGCCTGGCTGGAGTGCAAACGGTAGGTCGAAGCATCGTAGAGAAAGAAACCGACCACTCCGACGCCGACCAGCAGCACCGAGCTACCGAACCATGCGGCAGCACGGTAGGCAAAGTTCAGAAACCTAGATTTCCCTTGTGGTAATGGCTTGCCGGACAATCGGCGCGCAAGTACGAGCGGGGCGGGGAAAAGAGGTTTCGATGGGGTCGAGCCTGCGATCGCACTTTTGGTTTGGGCTGTTAGCCCCGATTTAGTCCATGTCCTTGTGGATAATGATCGAGTTTGTGTCCTAGTCCACTGGGTCCTGGCTGTTAAGTTTGCTCCTCGGGGACCGAAACGGCCTGTTTGGCGGGCAGCTCGAGTGCCCAACATGGTGATGTTGTTTTTGGTGTTGAAGTACCTGCGACGTCACCAAAAATTGCGATAAAAAATGCTTCACCAAGCGATTGGCAGTTGATAAAAAGAAAAACTGCAACGAGAGAAAGGTTAAGCAAAAACTACAATCCAAGGAAGGGTTGTAAAGATGTTGGAAAAATGAGAGTGATTAAATTGAAGCGCATATGGCGGCACCGATACGGCGGGCGAGCTGGGATCGCCCAACAAGCATTTACCTACGTCAGTGACTGCTTGGCTGCGTGGGAATTGTGTGTGCATGGAAGCTCTCCAGTGACAGGGGCGCAGGGGGTCAGTTGCATGCCAGCTGAATCAGCGCCATCCGCACTGTGACTTGACAGCGCGACCCCGCCCAGCCTAGCCTCCTTCGTACTGTGCCATCATTGCTTGCAGCTCCAAAAAAGCAAGGGGAAAACGCTGCAAGTCGGGATGGCCGTGCCGCTTGCCTGGGTTCCAATAGAATGAGACCCAAAATAGCGTTCGCATTTCACGTTTAGGGCTTCATGACCTCGTCTTTCGCGTTCTGTGTCGGAATCGTCGGCGACACGAACACGCCCTCCAATAAGTTGCCACCAATAGCTAATGTAAAATGCGACAACATCAGTCAGATGAATTTGGAATATGCTGTTTTTATCTGTTCCCTCCAATCCAGAACGGAGCGATGAAAACGCCATGCTATGCAAACTCCCCCTCTCCCCGCCTCAATCCCGAGTGACGGGACCGCCGGCCCCCGAGCAACTGGAGTTGACTAACACCGGAAATACCTTTTCTCCACCCATCTTTCCTCGATATCATGCACCACCTGCCCAACCACCGCCGCCATCTCGGGAAACACCTTGGTCAACCTATGCAGGCCCATCCGTCCAGCACTGTACGTGACCAACACGATCCGCTCCGCCTTGACACCGTGGTCCACTAGCACCTGCACCGCCATCAACGCCGACCCGCCGCTGCTCATCTGCGCATCCAGCAGCAGCACCGCCTCGTGCTTGTCGATATCCGGCGGCAGCACCAGGTAGTGCAGTTCTGGCTCGCCTGTCCGCACGTTGCTCTGGATGAGCATGCGGCCCGTCTTGCAGTCGGTGATGCACCGGTGGAGGCCGACTTCGAGTGCGGCGCCGCCGCGGAGCACGGTGACGGCTGAGACTTCGCCCTTGGGACGCAGCCCGGCGTAGGTGCGGCCTTGTGAGGTGGGGATGTCGGCCGGGATGAAGGGGATGTTGTTTAGTGCTCTGTGTCAGGTAAGTAAATATGCACTCAAACACGGTATAGAATAGAGGTCTTTGGGGTACGTACTGCTCCACGAGAAGGGCGCTGAGGCGGTCAAAGTAAAAGATAAAGTTCTCGCTGGTCGTGTCGATGTCGTGGATGATGGTGTTCATGCCCTTCATTTGTGATGTCTGGTTCATCACGGTTACTTTTTCAGATAGGGGTTCGGACTGTGCCCCGATCTCGAGGCGGGTAAGTGCCGCGCGGTGGTGCGTTGACTTTTCGAGAAGCTTCTCCTTGATGAACTGGACCACCATAGCTGTTTGGGTCAGTCTGGCTCAAGCCGGATGTGATATTGGTCCGACTTACACATGGCAACTTGGTTCTCAATGCCGCGCGGCACGATGATGTCGGCCACCTTCCGCTGTGGGTCCACAAACTGCAAACCCAAGTTTAATTCAAGTACCGCGGAGAGGAATGGGGCGAATTTACCTTTTCGAAGTTGGGCTTCACATAGGCGAACCATTGCTTGATGATACCCTCAATGTCTCGACCACGGTCCCTTTGATCACGTAATACTTGTACCATGTCAGCGCCTGCAGGGGCCGGTCAGGCAGGCTACATTTTGACTTACTCCTCCGTGAAAGGCAAGTATCCGCATCGGCTTCGCAGAATATCTTGTTTCCGGGTTAGTACTAAGGTACCGCGCAGACGGTTAACCACATTTACCTTCATGTCCATGAGCTCAAGAACCCGCGGGTCATAGAGGGCGAAGATACCCTCCAAAATCAGGACGTGTGGCGAGTAGATGGACGTAGTCCGGTCAGTACGGGCATGCTTCTCAAACGAATACACAGGAATCTCGGCACGTTTTCTACGGCGAAGGCCATTATCAGCTGCGGTCAGGCTTGGTCCGCGTCTCTGCACTTACCCGGCTTTGAGATCCCGGAGGCGTTCTACCAAGACATCAAAGTCCAAGGCCTAGGTGATCATGAGCCTGGTGATTAGGGATGTTGAGGTGGCCTTGGAGGCTTACGTCCGGTGCATCAAAGTCGTACTCATTCCGGAATGCCTTTCGGGAAGACTCCTCGTCCAGACTCTTGTAAAAAGAGTCCTACGGGCCATGAAAACCAATAAGCCTGGGTCCGCCCCGTTCCACCCCCGGATACTCCATGACTTACGATGGACAAAATGACTACCCACGGCAGGTTGAGTTTGTTCACGATGGCATGTGAGAGCGTAGATTTGCCCGACCCCGAGCTGCCAGCAATGCCTATGATACTGACGTCGGCCCACGGCGGTGCATAGTGCGCTCTCTTGGCTATTGTGCCGTTTGACTCGGGAGCTGCTGTGCCGTTCAACACGGATGCCGACTCGGCGGTCACGGAATCCGGCATGATTGGATGGTCCAGGGTCTTGGTTGGAGGGCCTGAAAAAGGCTCGGCTTTGTTGAGAGCCTGGGAGCCTGGAGGGGCAGCTGCGATCGAGCAATCTCCAGGGGCTCAAATCGGGAACCGCCCGGGCAGCCTGGAAATAAGCCGTAACGATGGCGAGAAGACGGGACTGGGTAGCTGTCTTAGTTACCTAATGCTGGCAGCCGGTCTGCATTTTGCGTCCGTCACAAAACAAGGCCAGGCTCACTTACCGCACAATACTGGGAGGATAGAAATGATTTGTTTGTGCCGTCCACTGGTGCCTCGATTTAGTGTTATGGTTAAACAAAGCAAGGCGGTATCTATTGTGAGGCAGGCAAGATCTGCCTTTTTACGGTTGCCCAACGCCAACGGGACCACCTGTCGGGTGCGGGGCATTTCGAGTCTCGCAGGCCGATGGGACCCGTCCACAGCCGCCAAGCGAGGCTCCAAGACCGTGAATGGCACGCGGCTGGGGCTCTCTGGCAGCTGCGGCGGTCGGCTCCACAGGAAGGAGCTTTGACGCACTTCTCGCTTGCTCAAGTTTCGACCAACTTCGCTCAATCCCTCCTCTTCCGTCGAGTCCACTTCCAGTTCAATTTTTTTCTTTTCTTTCTTTATTACTCAACCACCAGATTGGCGCGTGCCGACCGAAGGTTTAGGCACATGCACCGACAAATGTGAAATCGCGGCGCAAGGTGAACTAGGCACATGTCCAACTGGAGTGCAGCCCTCGAACTCGGTGAGCTTGACGTTGATTCGGCTTTTCGGGACGCCGTGTTTTCCCAACTCCGCGAGAGCTTTGACCGGATGGTACGATTGCTCCCTTTTCTTTTTTTCCTCCCCTCCATCGCGCGGATATCATCGCGACAGCAACCATGGATTTTAACGACGATTCCTCTTCGCAGAACTCCACAACCTCGACCGCAACTCCCTCCCAACATGCTTTCGAGAAGCGGGCTGCTGACATCAAGGCGCCCAAGAGGTAAGCGTCATTCGCCTTCTCGCGCACCTACGCACCAAACATGGCTATATGATGATTGCATATCAATGGGAATCTCTCTGAAAATTCCGTGTAGAGAAACTGCAACATTTGTTATCCCTGATCGCCCTCCTTTCTGCTCTCGCATTCCATCCGCATCGTCTACCTTTTTTGCGCAATGCTGACCATTGGATTAGCGATGTCAATGTCTTGATCCTGGACTACTTGACGATGGAAGGGTATCCGAAAGCTGCCGCCAAGTTCTGCAGGGAGGCGAACCTGCAACCTCAGCAGCCGGACCCGTCCATCCAAAATCGCCAGGACATTCAGCATGCCATCCACAGCGGCGACATCGCCAGGGCCATCTCGGCTCTGAACGAGGTCGATCCAGAGGTATGCGCTTGATTCTCCATTTTTTCACCCGTTCCCCTTGCTATGATTAGAACACGAGTTTCAACATGCACCACGCATAGGCTTCGGCCCGTGATGAGACACAACCACTTCTTTATGAGCAAACCCAAGCCTTCACTTATGATATTTTGGCCGCGATTTTCTGGTATTTCCCATGCTAACGCGGCATTAGCTCCTGGACAGCGACCCCAAGCTGCACTTCTCGCTCCTGCGGCTGCAGTTGGTTGAGCTTATTCGACAGTCTAATGGAGGGGACCCCACAGCGGCCATAACTTTCGCGACTGAGAACCTCGGTCCGCGTGCGGCAGCAAATCGAGAATTCTTGAATGATCTCGAGCAGACCATGTCGTTGATTATCTTCCCCCTTGACAAGCTGAAGCCAGAACTGGCGAGGCTGCTCAGCCCAGACCTGCGTCGGAACACGGCTACCGAGGTCAACGAGGCGATGCTGGTGCGTCAGAACCAGCGGAGAGAGGCTGCCATTCGACAGTTGGTGCGCATGCGTGCGTGGGCCGAGACATCGGCGCGGTCTAAGAAGAAGGACCTACCTGAGTCGATTGAGCTTGGCCTCAATGCGGACAACTCGGAGCCCAACGAGAGCGGCCTTGAGCCAATGATCACTACATGAGTACTGGTGTATGAAGCTATTTTATGAGGTTTTGTGTATTCCGAGGTGTGGTGGGTATCAGGGAGGGTAGGTTTAGGCGTTAGGGCACGGCACCGGTAGTGGGACCCGGGACATGGTCACTACCTTGGGATGGGTATGGGTATACCGGGTGCATCATCATGGCGTTATCACCTCCGTGTTCATTCACGATGGGGTTAAGAGGAATAGGTCATCTGTCTGTGCTCGTCATGACACTGGGCTGTACCGCGCTGCCCCCAAGCAAGACACATATGTCTTGCACAAATCAACAATTCACAAATTGAATCATCCCATCTTTTGCATTCTATTGACTGAATCGCAACTCAACAACATGATGCCTATGTACACACACCAAGCCCCCACCCCGCCCAGCGGCCCCCCTCTTCTACTTGGTCCGGATGTGCTTGAGCTTGCCGGGCGAGTACAAAAAGTTGTTGGCGTAGGCCTTGGGCGCGAACTTGCGGGCGTTGGGCTCCTGCACAAAGTACTCGTACCCCTGCTTCTCGGCGAAGGCGATGGCGTCCTCCTTGCTCTTGAAGTGAATGTGCGTGCCCTGCATGAAGTCGCCCGACGACTGCCACCCCATCAGCGGGTTCTCCCACCGGTGGCCCTTGCCCAGCACGTCCCAGTCCATTCGCCAGCGTGTGCCGATCTGTGTGCCGGATTGTGTGGCCGGTTTGGTGGGTTTGTAGATGCTGTGTGGGGGGGGAAAGGGGGGGGTGTTAGTTAGTTTACGGGTTGGTTAGGTGGGAGGGAGGGAGGGAGGGAGGGGGAGGGGGGTATGGCGAGGGGGTATGGGGAGTGGTATGGGGGAGTGGTATGGGGGAGTGGTATGGGGGAGTGGTGGGATAGGCGATGGTGAGGCGTACCGGACTGTCCTGGCCTGGAGCTCCATCGGCGCATTGGAGAGAAGCCCTGCCGGAATGACGCCCTCCTCGCTGCCGTCCTGTACGTGCTTCGGAACGGGGGTGTAGGTCCTGCATGCCGGAACAGAGGTTAGATATCATGGATGGAACTCTGGTGATGATGGTGGTTGGGGGTGCGTCGGCGGGGGTGCTCGTACGAGGTTGCCATGTCAATGGGCACGTTGTAGTCGGGAGAATTGCGCGGCAGCGTGGCCATCGGCGACGTCTCCTTCTTTTCCTGCTCCGTCTTGGCCGGGACTGTGGTCGAGCTCTCGTAGCGGCGCGCGGCGGGGAGGACAGCGGTGCGGGCGTGCGATGCACTGCACAACAGGCGCGCTGCCGAGGCAGTCGTTCGTAATGAGGCCATTGTCGACGACCCTATCTCGAGGTATCCGAAAGGGCGGCTGGGGATTGGTTGGAATTGGGGGTTTCAAGCTCCGACAGCTTCCAAAGCTGGACCTTGGTGAGGCGATTCAATCGAGGTTCAGTTGTGACGGCCATTGCGGGTTGGATCCCCACCCTGCGCTGCGTGATTGGTTCGTCGGGAACAACCGCGCGCAACAACATCTTGCCGACGAGGGACGCTGCGGTTTTCCCGCTCAATCAGGACCCGTCTTTAACAGCTCAACTTACTTGAACGACCACCCGCCCCAATTGAGCCGACCAGCGCAACGAGCAGCTGGGGACTTGTCTGCTTTGGCCTTCGCCCTCTTTATCGACTTCTCGACTAGTTTGCGAGCGCGCGCCACGCATTTCGCCAACATGAGCTTCGTCACACGCCGGGCGCTTTCCACGCTCATCCCCCCCAAGGTATGTCACTACGAGGTCGATGAAGGGTTAGATATGGTTGCTAACCGTTGTTATTAGGTCGCTTCCCCCAAGGTATGTGCTTTCCGATCGATTTGCGCCCTCCAAGTTTTCATCGAGCCCGCCGGGCCCCGCAAAAACGACGACAGCTTTTTCATGCGAAGGGCGAGAAGGACAGGCCAGGCCGTTGTTTGGGATAGGGAATTGGGGCTGGATGGACTTTGGCTTGGGAAGGAAGTTGGGCTGACTGGTGATGCAGGCCATTGGTGCGGCCCCCGACGCTGTCCGCATGCAGCGCGTTGTCAACTTCTACGAGAAGCTCCCCCGCGGCGCCGCTCCCGCCGTCAAGCCCACCGGCATTCTCGGCAAATACCAAGCCAAGCACTTCGGCAAGAACGCGTCGGCGAAGCGTATGTGACCAAGTTCTGACGCTAAATATGTGAACCATCGACTAACCTGGATCCAGCTATTATCCACGCCATTGTGTTCCTGCTGGTCGTTGGCTATGCCCAGAACTACTACTTCCATCTCCGTAAGTTGCCATTGAACCTCGTGGATGGCGTGTAGGTGTCTAACAGGTTTTTCAGGCCACCACAAGAACAACGCCCACTAAGTGGTAGAAGAGGGTGTTTTGCCTTGGCGATGACTCGGGCGTGTACATAAACTGTTTCCCAATAGATGGGGTGCGTGACACGCACTGCAGCAGAATTCTTTTTCTCTCGAAGTGTTGCCGTTAGTGTGAAGGTACCTGGGAGTGACAATTTCCTATGACTCGAGCGTTTTGATTGGAGCAAGGGATCAGTGGTTACTGGCTGGTTATGCTCTGGGAACGTATCAGCTGTTGTAGTATGGAACCCCGCCATTCTCAGATGCATTTCAGTGTGTGCGTGGTGGGTTATAGTTGAGCCTCGATCTGAACAAGAAACGCCACTAGCTGTACTCTATAGTGAACAATGTGATATCCCTATTTTACTATTCTTGTATGCTTTTACTATGGCCACCTGCCTATGCATGTTGGTGATATTCAATTGGCCAACTCCAACCCTCATCCGCATCACTGATCCCCTCGTTCGGAATTGTATGAATGAGCTTGATCAGACAAAAACTTGAAACAGACTCGGCGGTCCCTGTGTCATGCACAGTCCACATGTTATCGACCTGTAGGTGCCTCGAGGCTGCTTCCCTCCCTGTTTGCACAGTCACTCCCAAGCCGATCTCCAACTGCGAGACCTGTGAGTGGGCCATTTAACCCACTAATCCCAAAACGGCTCACCTGCCAGCTCTTGAACCCTTCGCCAAGTGCCATTCGCTTTCCAAGCCTGTCAGTCAGTCGGCGAAAAGAGAATCAACCAGCCGCATCGCCTCTCTCAGCGGAACCATCACTCCCACAACCCTTTCCCCTCCGATTCCCTCCCACGCCCCGGTCCCTTCCCTTCCTTTAACCTTCCCGCAATACCCGGCCGACTCTCGATTTAAAGGGATTCCCATTCCCTCGGTCTCCATCTCCAATACAGAAATTAGGGAGAAAGACGTAAGGTCCCCACATTTCAAAGAGGTTGCACAGCCAAGCCAAGTCTGCGCCAGCCAGCCATCGCCATTCTGGCCAGAAGCAGCATTTGCAAGCAGCTGTGTGGCCTGGCTTTCCTTCACGCTTTGCGCTTCTCTCTCCCTCGATCTGCTAGGGTTTGCTAATCCGATATTGTTGTTTCTGCACCAGATACCAACACCATTAATTCCTCGAGACCCCGCGATTACCCGAACGCGCAATCAGCGAATTCCTCCCAAGTTTGATCGCCAGCGACCTGACAACCGTAGGATGGCAACTGAGTCACCCAAGCAGCGATCCGATGAAGCTACTCTGACTTCTTCCGCCGAGCCCGTGAGCCCTGCCCTGCTCTTCCTCGTCAAATTGGTTATATTGTTTTGTCCCTTGCCGCTAACCGCAGCTGCCCCGCGCCGCGCCCCAGACGATCAAGATCGCCAACGATTCGCAGAATGTTGAACTCAACCCACCGCACATAAATGGCGATGCCACGGACGAGTTCGAAAACAAGCACATTTCCGACATCGTTGACGACTTGGTAAACTCGACAGAAGTTAGCATTAGTGGAGGATCTGACACCGAAGCCACGAAATCCGATGCTTCTAAGGGAAAGGACGGCGCAAAAGGCCACGGCCGCGTCTCCTCATCAGTGAAAAAGCCCGCGGCCTTCAAAGCGATCAACGTCAACAAGACCTTCCTCACATCCAAGGCCCCCGCCCCGGGTGTCCAACCCAAGGTTGCGGAGAAGGCGCCTGTGACCCCGAGCGCCGCATCTCCCGTCCCTGGAACCGCGACGGTCAGCCGACCCAGGTTAGTTGCAAAGATCGGCAGTGGCTTGATAACTAAAGGGTCTGGATCAAACGGTGGCAAGGTAGCTCCGGACGCGAGTGTTGTGTGGAACAAGAATCGACGTGAGCAAACAATTGCCGAGGGAGCCCCCTAACCTTGATGGCTACTAACTCGCAGCGCAGCTGTCCCTCCACCGGAACCGAAGAAGTACACCGACGAGGAGCTGAAAAAGTATGGGATCCACATGGCGACACGGCTCCATCCCGATGCCGCGAAAGGGCAGTCCAACTGGGCCGATATAGATGATGACGACGAGGACTGGGACCCCGATACCATCACGTGGCAGGACGGAACTAAAATCGCGATCGCACCTCCCGAGGAACCTCCGGCCGCCGCCGCGCCAGAACCTATCGTCGTCCGCCCGGTTGTGAAGGAGAACGCGCCCGTTGCGGTGGAAAAAGCGAAATCACCGGCCCCTAGTACATCACCAGCCGTTAAGCCCGGCGTGCTGGGTTCCGGGAAGGGTCTGGTACTGAAAGGCGCGCCTGAAAAGCCGACTCTGGTTGCGAAGCCCCCAGCGCCGCCCGCGCCCGCCAAGTCGCCATGGGCACCCCTCCCGAAGATCGACAAAGTTTCCCCGATCGCCGCGGATACGCCAGTCCAAGCAGCGCCAAAACCTCCGCCAACTCAGATGCACCCATCACATGGTCAACTGCCCCCCAAGGAGATTGCGGCAGACGATTTTAGCAGGGCACCTTGGCGGGACGGCGCCCCAGCTCCGAACAGGGAGCTTTTTAATTCGCAATCCGGCCGCTACGAGCCAGTTCTGGACCGCCGCGGCCCGGTGCGCCAGGAGCCCCAGTACGGGCGGCAGCCGGCGGTCATGCAGCGGCCAGGGCACCACGAACAATATGGGCAGATGGATCATCCGGGGCCCTTCCAAACAGCCAGGAACGAGCAGCAAGGTCCATATGGGCGGAGACGCGGGTCTTCCAATGCTAGTGGCGGAAGCGGGAGCTGGCAACGCCCCAAAGGCCTCGAGCACTCTCTCCCTCCGCCCGACCTAATCAATGCGCGTCGCGCATCCGCGGCCGGAGGAAGCGATGGCCCCGCCTCTCCGAGGAATTTCCCCCCGTCCGGCACCCAAGGCGGGCCACACCCCGGCCAGGCGTGGCAGCCCAAGGCTTCTCCCAACGTGGCCCATGCGACACCTCATCCGAGCGAAACGGCTGCCGAGGGCCGTGTCCTGCCGCCCTCCGTTCAACCGTCACCAGTGCCCGCGCCTGCAGTCCCTGTTACGGAAGATGATTATGAACTGCAGAAACGATTGATGCGGGAACGCCGGGAACTCGCCATGAGGCGCCGCCAAGAGGAAGAGGCCCGAGAAGAGGCCGCACGCAAGGAGAGGATTCGTCTGAAGTTGGAGGCATTGGGACCCGCCCCCGAATCGAACAAGGCCAAGAAGGCGGCAGCGAAGGAACAAGCCGTAACACCCACCCAAATCCAACCTCGTGAGACGAGCAGCTCCGAGAACCCCGCGGCCGCCGAGTCGCACGAGGCTGAGGACGAGGCTCCCCGAGTGGTCATCCCCCAGCCCAAACAACAAATCCTCCCGCCCGCTGGGCCGCCACCACAGACTAATCCGCCGGTTGAGAGCGTCGAGTCACGTCCGCCAACACATGGCAGCAGCCATGCCCAGCCTTGGGCCGCGAGGCAAACCGACCGGCAGCCGGCTGTTTGGGGACCGCAGCCTTCGACGAAGAACGTCTGGGCCGCCCCCAACAACCGGAGCCTCGGCAATGGGACTTTCGCGGCTGACATCGGGGCGGCGCCGCTCCCGTCAGGACCCGGGCCCATTGCACCGCCGAGCAGCTCCCGCACAGCCGCTCCATCGCAGGCGAACGTAGCTCCTGCTGCCGCATGGCAACCGCCGATCGGGCCCCCCAGGCAACCACACGCGCCTCGGGGCGCAGCCGAGCGGGAGATGAAGGACAACCCGTGGGCTGCTGCGGTTCGCGTCAACGACGACAAGTTCTCGGAGATGCTCAACGCCCAGTACGATGAGCGGGACCGTAGGTTGCAGGCAGAAGGCCGTTCGTTTGTCGGATGTCCAGCCCGCTATCAAAGACACCTGGCGCCCGACGAAGCTCGACGATTCCGGCGTGCGCACCGAGGGCATCGGAAAGCAGACGGTCCAGATCGGGCACGAAAACCCGTGGGCTTCCACTCCGGAGGGCAAAGCCGCGGCGGCGCAGCAAGCGGCATCGGTGTCGAGCGGCACCCCATCCGAGTACAATCAACTTCCTCAGGCCAGCGTGCCCGCTCGCGATGTCGCGTCGGCACCCATGATCGGCGCCAAGACGGCCACGGCCCAGGGCAGGGGGTCACGTTTCTTCCCCTCTCGCGATGTCCGCCAAGAAACCCGCGATATCCGGTTGGAGCTGAGCGCCGAAGCGCTGCGGCAGGAATCGCCTTCGCCACCGCCTCCGGATATGGTTGGCCATCCCGCTTTTGACGGCGACGCCACCCACCCGCATGTTTCCTTGCCGCGACCGTACCCTGTTGTTCGGCTCCCTCCCTCAGCGGCGAAGGAAACGCCCGAGGTAAGCCGGGCGCCTACCGGCCCCTCGAAACCGCAAGGGCCCAGCTTTGCGTGGGCGTCGCAACCGGCATACAAGGAGCCGGACAATGCACCGCGGGGGCCTACTCCGAAGCCGGACAACGCTTGGCAGGCCAAGATCGACAACCTGTTGGGCGGACGCAAGGTGCACCCGTCCAGGGCTGCGGGAGTCGATGTCCGGGTTCCGCCTCAACCGCAGGAGTCTTCACATCCTGGACCACTTGGACCGATCGCGGAAACGGAAGGGTCGACCACTACCAAAGTGATGGCCGAGGAGTGCTTCGAGGAGCAGGAGATGGGCTCGTTGCCTCCCATCCGATTTCCGAAAACGGTACCAGAGATGGCGTGGCAGCCCAGCCCGGCGCCCAAGCCTCTTAGCAAGAAGCTCTGGCCCGTAGTGCTCAGCGCGGACGCTATTAACTTCCCCGTCGACGTGTCAGGAGCCGGCAATGTGTGGCGTGTCTGTATCCCTGGTAGCGAGAGCAGGAATATCACGGTCCCGTTCGGACGGGCACGCAGCAACCCACGCAGGGGGGGATCGCGCGGCGGGCGGCATAGCTCGTCGGCGCAGCATAGGCAGGGGAAGGGCCGCGAGTCGTCTTCCTCGTATTCGGCGGAGCAACGCGACACCGCGGGTTCCGGATCCAACCCGTCACATGGCAGAGGCCACCGTGGTAGTGGCTATCGGGGGCGGGAGAACTGGTCGCGCAATCCGTCGAACCAGATCCAAACGTAACGCAGTCCGGTTGCCTGCCTGACGTCCTGGGGTTGGGGGGGGGATGTCGGAGGGTTTGTCCTGATCCTCTTGACACTTGGCACACTTGACCAGCATACTTACGTGGCAGCGCTTGTGCATGGCATCACTTCGGCCTACACGTTGCGCAATTCTCCGAATCAACACACAACAACCATAGCCATCGGTTTACCCTATATTTCGATACCGCTGCACAAAGCCAGCAGCAGTGTAAATGTTCGATTTTCCTACTTTTTTTTCCTTGCGGCATGGCTGTATCAACAGCAGCGGCCGCTTCTTTGGTCGCTAACAAGCACCTCTCTGGTCTGTTTCGTCTCGCCCGAGTATATTTGGCGCATGCGGGACATGGAAGACGAGCAACGAGCTCGTGGCCTCGCATGGACATGGCAGTCTGGCAACGAATCCAGGCGGAGGGACCCAAAACGGGGTCCGAATTAACGGTGGTGAGGGGGTGGATGGGGCATAGAAACGGACCATGAGGTGGGACAGCGGCGGGACCCTCGGTTGCTCGTGCTTTTTACCTTTGGCGGCCTGTCAATGAGCTCTAGCCAGCGACTGAACAACGGGACAAGACACGATGCGACGTCTTGTGTGTCTGGCCTCTGCGATAGACCGGAGGAAGCAAGGGATACTTCTCATATTGAGCGTGGACGTATGAATGACGGAATGGGTCGGTTTACCTGGGGTGCCACCAGCGTGGCGCTATATACAGTCGGGTGCGATACGAATAGGCTGGTGTAGCTGCAGTTTACAGTTTAGCGGCTCTACAGTCTCTTGACAGAAACTATCATGATCAATATTTGTGGTTGTGCCGTGTGAAGGTGAATGGTGAAGGTACAAATAATGTGTGGCGTTATTTAACCCCTCCCTGCCGTCAGCGGGTCGGACATGGCAGTGAGGGAAATAGTAGTGTCTGACCAGTTGAGTTAGCCAAACATCAACTCTCTAACTAGTAGTACTAAAGATATCCCGCTCGTGGAATTCGTAGTTGCCCCGCAGGTCTCCGCTCATCCCAAGCAATTCACTCCGCCTCAGTAACTTTCACCGTTTACCTTACCCCAACTCTTCCAAACATACACGCTCACACCTCACACATCACCTCCATCAGCAACCATGACGAACGCACCCGCACCTACAGCCAGCACCGGTAACCCCACCCACACCAACACCAACGCTGACACCGCCGACATCAACCCCAACACCCCCCTTTCCAAACCCAAACCCCAAACCCAAACCCAACCAGAAAACAAAGACCCCCAAAAGAAAACCCCCCAAAAGAGGTTAATAAACCTCTTCCGCGGCTGGCCCGCCCCGTCCCTCCTCCCCGCCGCCGGCCTGAAGGCAGCCGCTTCACACGTGCTGTCGGATCCGGAACTGGTTGTCCCGGTGCTGTACTATGGCATTGACCCGGGGTTTCAGCCAGTTGAGTCAGGAGGTGGCGAGGTGGTTGGGGGGGGTTTATTCTTATGGGGGGGTTTGAAGTGTCCACGGCGTCCGTGGGGGTGAGAGTGGCGGTGATGGGAGGGGTAACCTCGGTGAGGGCGGGAACCTCGCTACGAGTGCTACGCGCGGTGGTAAAAAGATGCGAGGATGAGATACCCATCACGGCTCCGCCCCGCCAGGCGCTTGCGACTGTGCTGCAGGGGTCTACCGATCCGGGATATACGCGCGCACGTGTGGGTGGTGGCGCCGTGCTACTTTATGGCGTGCCCTATTTTCGAAGACTCGGGGTTCCGTGGGAGGCTGCGCGCCGTGCCGGAGGACGAGGCGGGAGTGGATGTGGGTGTGCTGGAGAGGAAGTTGAAGGAGTGTGAGGCTGAGCCGTGGGAGGTTGGTACTCTTTCTCTCTCTTTGTGTCTTTAGTGCTCTAGTAAATACTCATACTAACTCCCCCAGAACCACCCCTCCAACCACCCCTACCCCGACCGCAAGCTCTACCGCCACGTCATCTACCTCGTCGCCACCTGCGCCAACCCCTCCGGCAAAACCATGCCGCTCGCCCGCCGGCAGCAACTCGTGCACCTCGCCCGCGCGCACGACGCCCTCATCATAAGCGACGACGTCTACGACCTCCTCCAATGGCCCGTCTCCCCCACCCCCACACCAACCCCCTTAACCACCTCATCCCCCTCCATCGCCCCCCTCCCGCTCCTCTCCCAAATCGACGCCGCCCTGCCCCCCTCCCCGCACGAACCCCACTACCACCACCACCACCCAAACTCTCCCACCACCCCCAACCCACCCCCCCCTCTTCGGACACGCCATCTCCAACGGCTCCTTTCTCCAAGCTCGTCGGCCCCGGCGTGCGTACGGGGTGGCTGCACGGCAGCGCGGGGTTTGCGGCCGGGTTTGCCGCGACGGGGACGAACCGCAGCGGCGGGGCGGCGAGCCCAGGTTTGCAGCGGCGGTGGTGTGGCAGTTTCTTGAGTGCAGGTGGGTTTGGAAGGCGCATGTGCAAGGGGGTGGTTGAGGACTTGCGTTGAGGTAGGAGGCATGGGTTGATGGTTGGGGCAAGGATCACCAGCGCAGTTGGGAAGGGAAGGATGTTGGATGTTATGGAAGGGCGGAATTGAGCCCGGCATGGATGTTGGCGGCTTGGAGGATGTAAGGACGCAACAAGATTGT